CTAGCCTAATGATATTTTACCTATAAAGCCTAAGGCTTCTACTATGCATCTAAGCCTGTGTGACTGTCATCAATCTTTTTAAGCTCTTCTCAGATTATCCTTCTTTATGTTCTCCCATCTTGAGTATGGCATGTATATTAATGATGACTTAGATTTCTTCCTCTTCATGCTCACTTTCATCTTCACTTTAGATAACTTTAAATGATATATTATGAACAATATGGTTAGTCCAAGTATCAATATGTCTATATTCAAATTATGAAAGATGATACTTTAAATTACTCTTGGATATAGAATCAATTTAAAATAAAAAATATATAATAGTATGAAAAAAACTTTGATGCATACAAATTATTTTTTCAAATCTCATGTAATATAGAATAATATAAGTAAAAATAATTTAAAGAACTTGTTCCATAGTCATAGTTAACTATATATATATATATATATATGAAAATGGTTGGGTATAAGTATAGTTAATTCATCTATATTTGTCATCATCAAAACTTAAGCTAAACATAATGTCACAAGCCATCATGTCCAATAGAATCAAAAAGGCAAAGAGGTCTGAAAATATTTTAGACCTAATCCATACTAACATCTATAGACCTATTACAATCGTGACTCTGGGTGGTTTCAGATATTTCATTACCCTCACATATGATTATTATCATTATGGATGGATTGAACTCTTGCATGAAAAGGGTGAGTCTCTTAATGCATTTAAGAACTTTAAGGTAGCAGTTAAATTGAAATCTGGAAAGTTAATCAAATGTTTGAGATCTGACAGAGGAGGAGAATTTTATGGGAGATATATTAAGACCGGAAAGAACCTTGGGCCATTTTCTTTGTACCTTCAAGACAATAATATTGAAGCTCACTATAATATGCCTAACACCTTGTAACAAAATGGGGTTACAAAAAAGCAAAATTTGACTCTCATAGATATGGTTAAAAGCATGATCAATAACTCCTCATTGTCGAAGTTCTTATGGTGTGATGCACTTAAAACTACTTTTTATATTTTGAATCAAGTTCTTAGCAAGTCAATTCTAAAAACTCCATATAAATTGTATTTTGGAAGAGCACCCGCACCGAAACATATGCAAGTTTAGGGTTGTAAAGCAAAAATAAAACCCTACAATTCACAACAGATGAAACTTGATGCTAAAATTGTTAATAGTTTCTTTATTAGATATTGTATCAGATCTCATGGGTACAAATTCTATTGTCCAAATCTCACTACCAGGGTCATTGAATTAAACCAAGCTTATTTCTTTGAAGATGCCTTGGACAGTGAAAGCTCTGTGCCTAAGCATATCACTTTATATGATGAAAGCAATGTTTTACCTATGCCTGTTATGACAACATCTCTTGTTGAAAGGAACAATACCATGGATCAAGATGAAGGTTAAAATGAACCACCTTTAAAGGATGATGAGGATCTAGTTGTTAAACCAAGAAAATCCCAAAAGGTTCACAGGTCTATTATTTTCAATGATTACATGGTGTATTAGGAATTTGATTCAAATGCTATTAATAGTTTAGACCTAATATCTTACCAAAAGGCTATTTCTAGCATGCATTATTCTAAATGGTTGGAGGCTATAAGGGAAGAAATTGTCTCTATGGACCGCAATCATGTATGGGAGCTTGTAGAGCTACCACAAGGTTTTAAACCAGTAGATTGTAAGTGGGTCTTTAAAACAAAATGAGAAGCTATAGGTGAAATTGATAAGTACAAAGCCAAACTTGTAACTAAAAGGTATAACCAGAAAAAAAGTATTGATTACATAGAGACCAATAGGCAAATGCCTAACCTACAATCATAACTGTCAATTATTTTCTATCTTTTAATCAAATGAGTCAAGGATAATGTTAGATAATTAATTAATTAAATTTATTAAAGCGGTTACTGATCTGGTTTATATAAATTGATTAGTTAATAACCAAAATACAATACTTTTCACTCTCTTTATTATCTCTGAACTCTCTATAAAATTGCAGCGATCTAGTAGATTGTGTGTTTTCTTATATTCAAGGTAATTGAGGTATCACAATCAGTCATGAATTTTTCAAGTACACACATCACTTTACTCAATCTTATTTAACTTGTATGAATTAAGATATTAAATGTAACACTATTTTCTATTGTCCTTGATAAAATATATTAAATTCTAACATAATCTTTTAGATATATATATATATATAGCGGAACAAATTTCAGTGCAAGGAAATTTTTTAAAATAAATTAAAGTTTAATACTCTAAATATTGTGTAATAAGATTTATGTTTAGAACTTGTTTGCATTATGTTTTGGTGCATCGACATGCTAGAGAAGCATGTTCTCAACTGATATAATACACTTGACTGTTAAATCAAGCAATGAGTCCTAAGATTCTTTGCCTCAATTCTTCCAAATGCAAGTGCTTACAAATAAAAAGAAATAAGATAGAGCCAAATGCAAGAATTGCATAATGGAAGCATACATGATACTATTACTATTCTGAAATGAATTATTGAAATTCTAATATAGAAAAATAAAAAGGAGAATCTCACTTAAAGCCTCTAAAACACAAATTTGCATTGCAGGCTTGAAAGCCTTTTTTACAAATTTTATTGTGGATGAAGAGATGCAATTGAAAGGGCCTGTCCATGTATGCATAATACGATGTGCACAAATTCTCAAACAATATTCATGAATACACAATATATCTGATTGACATAGTTTAACTTAAAGTGAAATGTACAAACAAGCAAATGATGAACAATATAATGTCCATAAATACATAATATAATATCTATCAATTCTCAACATAGTGAACATATGTAGATTTGCGACATTTGTACAACATAAAATACATAATGAATAACATATTTTTATTGAAACAACATACTTCAAGTTAATATCCACCAGATATATTTGTGTATTCATAAATATTGTGTTGAGAATTTATTAATGTCATATTATTAATACATGAACATTCTATTTAGACAAGAAGAAATGTGTCTTTTCATTGATAACAAAATTTACAATGGTCATCAAGCTTGCAATGTGTTTTCAGATTCTGTTGGGCCTATAGTGTAATTTTTTGTGCTTTGAGGGTCCCAAGTGAGATGCTCCCAAAATAAAATATAAATTCCAAAGCGGCATCATTGTTATTCCATTCGGTGCTACTGCACACTCTACTATGTAGAAGGGACGCGTTACTCTCTTATGGATGCAAGTTGATATGCAGGAACAACATAAATTTTTGCATCGGGAAGCGTGTTTTTCTTTTGTCTTGGTTGATGTGTTGAAAGAGGTCTGTCTTGCTACCATTTTATAGGCAAAAAAAAGTTTTTGTATGGTTCCATGTTCCAATTTTTAAGACCATTTCCTGTGGTTTTTCTTAAACTTCTTCCATTTTCTTCTCATTTTTCAAGTGGTGTGTTGATTGACAATTATTCCCATTTAAATTCTTCCTTCCATATACTTGAAGTGAACCTGACTCAAAATTATATTTTAATCCAAATAGAATCTTCTAAACATTTTTTAAATTTGTCCCATTATTGGACCTGGTTTTTTTGGCTAATTTTTTCAGAATTTATTTTTTATATTAGACATGGATGGAGGGGGACTAGCAAGAAGTTATTAAATTTTCATAGTATTATATAAATATTATATTCTTTCAACCCTTAAGATTAATAAAAATTTGTATTGTGTATATATTAATTTCAACCTCATATGACGTATTTAGCTGCAAAAACAAGGGTCAAGTTATTAGAAAGGATGAGAATAGAATGAATTGAAACAATCAAAATAAAATAAACTTTATTAATTATCAACCTTCTCTTCATGATAAATATAATAAAATTCATTATTATATATTACAAATATAAAATTCATTACACCTTCTAAAAATATCGTGAATTATAGCTTTTAATCCTATGAACTAAATTACCATTTCTTCTTATGAATATAGTTCACATATTTCATTCCAAATTTTAATCATCTTATTTTTATTTTAATATGAAATTCCTAAATTATAAGTCTAAGAGTGATTTAAACCCTATACTCATAATTAATACATTTTAAATCCTAAACAATTAAAATCAGTACATCCTCACTCTTAATTTGAAACTAATGGTCATTACTTTTTAAACATACCAAAAATAGAAAATATGAGCTCCACTGTGTTTACAAAATAACAACAGTTAATTTCAAACTAATTGTAAGGGCAAGGACGCACAAATTTTAATTATTTAAAATTTAAAATGTATTAATTATGAATATATGATCTAAATCATTGCTCAATTTATAGTTCAAGATTAAAATTACATATTAATCTTTTTATTTTTCGTTTTTTAAATTCATTCTATTTTCTTTCATTCTAACAACCTAAATACCGACCTTGTATAGTTGCATCATGTTATAAATGTGTTATGACATTAATTTTATATAGTATATTAATATATATATATATATATATTTAACCAAAATATTGATAACTTTGACCGAGCATCACAACGATAGTTGAGTTATACAGTGCCAGTTGTAAAATGTCGGATAAAACCTTCGAAGCTTCAGACCTCCAGAATATAAACGCATCACTGGCCATCAATTTTTTTGTAGTTGACACACTCCCCACAATGATAAGTTGCGTCTTGGCTTATAATAGTTTGGCACAAGTCATGAAAGCAATTATGGAATAAACCAAAACCAAAAACAAGAAAAAGAAAAAGAAAAAGAAAAAGAAACCGTCAAATATAAAATGCATGAAATGTTGGGTACCAATGAGTCAATGACCAAATCAAACATCCAAGATTCATGAAAAATTCCATCTCTATCAATTTATTACTAGGATCACTAATTATAAAATTGAATCAATTTCAAGAAAAACCAAATGCAAAGAACCACTCATACAGAACATGCCAATGGTTTTTTAATTCTTTTAACTAACGCCACGTGGAAAAATTGCCTGCCTAGATGGATCCCAAGCTCAATTGAAATACTAATGTAAAATACAAAATTATCAATATAATTATAAAATTTACAGAGAAATACACGCAAACCCCCCCCCCAACATACTTAAATACCACAAGGTCCATTGATATCTTGTCAATTGATCTTGTGCCATTTAAATGTGTTGTGGGAGACTTTAAAGTAATTCTCCATAGCAAGCTACATCAATCATATGCAAAAAATTGAACAACTCGTTTAATTTATAAAAAATGCAACGCATAAGACCCACACCCAGTTACTTTTTAAATATTTGAAACTTCAACAACAAAAAAAACCTTATCCCATTATGTGGGATCAGATTTAAAATCCCGATCATTTAATAAGATTTGAAACCTGCAGACCCATAAATTATACATGAGACTGCTCTATAGAAGCCCTGAAACTTCAAAAACACGAGCAGTACCATCAATTGAGACAGAAACAACGCAATCTTTAGTAGCAGATAGAGAAAGAGATTGAATGGCATCAGCGTGCCCCCTGAATGTTCTCACACATTCACCAGATCGGCTATCCCACACTCTCACAATTCCATCCACACAACCAGTTACCACATAGAAAGCACCAAGCCATGACAAACATGTCACTCCCTCCTGTTCAAATGCCAAAAACCATCTTTATTCAGACTAGCAATGATGATTTACAACCCCAAACCTAAGTACATAATTGGCGAGCCATGGGAAAATTAGCTTGTAACTTGTTAAAATACTCCTTTAGTCTTGTTTATAAGTGACTTCCAACATATTCACCGATACTGAGGAAAAGCTTAAAACTCATTAATTCTGTCTAAAAATTTATTAAGTTTTCAACTCTGTTTTTATTAAATATGCTTTAACAACATACTTTTTCTCACTAACATTTAATGAAAGGTTAAAAAAGAAGCTTGTAATGAAAAATTAATGTGACTTATAAATAGGACTAAAACAATTATTTTCTCCTTGCTTTATAAATAGGATTGGAGGAAGTACACAAGAATGAAAAATTTTGTGCAAAACAAAATTCAAAATACCTCATGATCACAAGTGCTTCGGGTTAATGAATGCTCTATATCCCATATCACAAGTTTATTATCCATGCTTCCAGCTGCCACCCAAGAGTCACTATCGTGTACAGTTCGAAAGAAACGAAAGTAATATTAATGCCCTTGTTGTAGGCCAATAAACAAAGAAATGCAGAAGAGGAGGGAAGGAGATGTACGAAAGAGGAACAAGTAATAGATCTTTGTGAATAAATTGATTAAAATTGCTTAACCCTAGCTAATCAGGGACTTGTAAAATGCCCAAGAGGTACATCCCCTAAAAAGTTAAGTTCTTAATGACAGTAAAAAGACTGGGTTTCTTCAATAAAAACACTCTTCCTAATATCACAGTCAATCTGGTCAGCGCATGGTCCTCAGAAAACACTATTCTAACAACTTAGACAATAAGATTGTCAAACTTATATGAACTAGGCAGCACATGTGCACAATGACACAGTCAAGAGATATGCCTGTCAATCTTAATGCATACCTCTGTGCAAACCCAACACATTCGATGGAATCAGAATGAGAAACCAGTGAATTAACAACCTGTCAACCACAATGGAAATGTTCTTTAGAAACCTAACTGACAATAATGTCCGAAAGTCCTAAGTAAGAAATGAAGCTTATAGACAAAAGGAACAATCAGCACAGTAAAAGAGAATCTTAGCAGGTTAAAAAAATTGACTAAACTGGAATTTTTTTATAAATTATAATTACAATGAGTAGGAGGAAGCAATCATATCACAGTATGAGCTGAAAGTTTTGAAATATTTTATTTAATGCAGAACCAAGAGGCTTTTATCAATCATGGAGGAAGCAATTGTAGGACATACTCTCCCTGTAGAAATATTCACAACGTGGACAGATCCATCCCTAGAACCAGTAAGTGCAAGAGTTGAACTTGAACTTATCGACATGCATGTCAGCCCGTCAGTATGATATGGATGACCTAGAAGGGAAAGTTAAATATGTCAAAAACTTCTAAGATGACCTAAAAATGCATAGTAAAAAGAGAGAAAATGAAACCTACAGCCAATCATTTAAAAATCCTATGATGAAAGCAAGAGATATTTATTTAGAATTTCAACACTAGATTGTTAATTGACAAATAGAAATCACAGGCTCCTATGTATGATTTTCATTGAAGCTCCAAACACAAACTAACTTTAAAAATATGTGTGCGCGCGCGCGCGCGCATGATGGATATCCCAGTATGAGAGACAAATGATATTGAGAAAAGTAAATCACAATTTTTCTGGTCATCGTAGTGGGAGGTTAATGCAGGCTTTGACCTTTTTCTTTGCTTAATTTCATACTTGGATGTAATAAGTGCCGGACCTTACAACCGACAAACAAGAACGATGCATCAAAAGTGATTTTTACATACCCCGCACAACATGAAGGTTTTCTCCGCTTTTGGGGTTCCATATTCTCATAGTAGCATCATCAGAACCAGTGCATATTATTTTCCCTTCAGCACCAAATAAAACATAAGCAGATCGGAAAATCAATGTGAACAATAACAACTGCAAAGGGGGAAAATGTGCATCAAGATGAAGAGAAGTTACTACCATCAGGAGTGAAATCACCACAGGTTACACTACCACCATGGCCAGCAAATGTACCAAGAAAGGCACCTCTATCAGCATTCCACATCCAAACGGTGGAATCCTCAGAACCAGCTAATAGTAGGTGTCCTCTTGGATGCCACCTAAGCCACTGAAAGGTCACACATTTAACCAATTCAATTATTACTAGAAGGAGTCAAGGAGAGCAGCGCAACCCAAAAACAAAAATGACATTCTAACCTCAATTCCCCCTCCAGGACCTTCCAGAGAACCTCTGTGATTTCCAAGTACATCCCAGACTTGAACAACTCCATCCAAGCTTCCTGATGCAAGCAACTGCCCATCACTGCTAAAAGCTAAACTGCTTACTGAATCTCCATGACCTATATGATACAACAAAAAGTCAGCAAAATATGACAGTTGTCATGTGATATGAAAATTTCATTCATTATAACTCTCTCCTGGGTCACTATACACCCATCAGTGAATTTTATGTCAAAAACCTTGAAGTTCAGAAGCCCAGTCTCCTTGGCCAATCCTCCAAAGAAACCCTTTGTCATCACCTCCCCCAGTTGCAACCAGTGTTTCATCTGTTGGGCTACAGGCAACTGCGTATAATTCTCCTATTTAAGGGGGAAAAATCCAAGGAAACATGAAATGTAAAAATCATGTTGATGCAACAAAATCTCGTTCAAACATATGACACATGATCTCAAAAAAATTTAGGTAAATAACATTATCAGCCAATGAATAAAATCTTCAGCAGCAATGAACTTACACACAACAGAAATATTTTGAAGCAAAAACCTAATAATTTCATGTTAAGAAAGACCTGCCTAAAAAGTTGATGGTTTGTGCTCCCTAGAATGTTATATAGAACTAAAATTATTTGAAATACTGAATTTTTAGTTAATATAATCAAAAGTTCGGTAAGGACAATGTTTAAGGTAAAACACACATTAAAGGATAGTAATCTCACCAGAATGACCAGTGAAGATGTGCACAGAATCATCAGGCTCCTCTGAAATCATTGAATAAAAATGATTAACAAAAACATTTAATCAGTAAAAAAGTAAAACATCTTGATTCTAGCTTTAATAGTAGTACAAGTCTCAAAATAACAGCTAACAATTTTCACGGAGAAAAAATATAGAACACCAAGAAGTATAAAAGATGGTATAGCTATCCAAATTGATTCGCAGCAGTCCTACCAACTTGCTCCATGTCAGATTCTTCCTCATCTGCATCAGGAAGATCTTCATTGTCCAAGGCAACTTCCTGGATGATGTCAGACTCATCCAGAAAAACTTCTTCATTATTGTCTTCATCATCATGAAGAGATGGACTTGATGGGGCATTCATCTTTTTGTCTCAATTCAAGATGTAATTAAAACACTCTTGGAATCTGATAACAAATATGAAAGAGGCAATTATTGAAATAGATTTGGCATCCAATTACTTTTCCCATTCTCTGCCAACACTTTTCCATTACTTCCCCATCTTCAGGGGATTACTCATTCAATGTAATGGATTGTGAAGTGTGAAAACAGTGCCAAAACCATCCAACCGTATGACATAATGGTGAGAATTAGGATAAAGTTAAGCAATTGCATTACACATGGATGATTACAAAAAATAGAAAAACTAAATATGCTACAGAAACATTTACAGAAAAATGAAAAGAAAAGAAAAGTTAACCATAAACATATGCTACATTTTGAAAAACAAACAATGATGATACCCTTCACATGATCACTGAAAAACTCAATGGCACGGTGTAACTGTACTTTATACTAATATTAGTATTAATATCATTGATAAAGTCTACAAATGATGTGGAAGAATAGAAAGCTTAAATGTATTATCCTGGAGCCGAGTTTGGATTTTCATGCAGCTGAAATTCTAGAATGGAGGCCAAGGTTCGATATTAAAATAGGAAAATCCACAGCAGTCTCAGCGGAGATAAGGAGGGTATGACAATTCACTGTTTCACAAGATAGGATAGTGCATCAACCGAGCTTACAAATCCAATTTGTTCTTACCACCAATCCACATGGAGCTTATCTACTGAGTCACCCTCATCAGCCATATAATCTTGTTTGCGTTACTCTTAATATGAGGAAACTTCTGATGATATTCTCTATTTACAGTGTTATATTAGGAGTTAGTATGGTTAGGCTTTGCTCCTATACAATTTTTTATGTTGTATCTCCTTTCAACACAAAACAAAAAAGGAATCCATAAACATAGAGATTATTTTGAAGTTTTGAAATGGGAAGAGGAACACACAACAACAAGCCTTTATTCCACTATGTGGGGTTGGCTACATGGATTGCAAGACGTCATTATACTCTATCATTTACCAAACTTTTAAAAATACTATTAATTAAGAGATTGCGTTCAACAACTTTCAAGAGTATTGTTCTCTTAGGCCTTCCTCTATCCCTCTTAACAAAGAAGAGGAACATAACTGCACTTAAAATTTTGCAACTCTACTTAATTCTTAGCAGCATAAGAAACAGATCGCATCTCTCATAAGCACAACAAATAGTTTTTTTTTTTTTTTTCCCCATAATACAGAGAAAACCCATTAGAACTATAATTAATCCACCGGAAAAAAAAAATAATCACAATATGAAAAAAGATTTCCCACAAATATGTCAAGTTAAATACTGGGAATGAAAATAATTTTAAAACACAACAAACGAGGGAAAGGGACAGCAAAGTCCAAAACGAGTACCCTGGTTAAGTTGATCGCTTAAATGTTCAAAATCATAGGCAACGATTGGCATGGGCAAAATAAAAGCGTGCAGCACATAAACATGTCTCTACAATATTCTGACAAAATTAAACAAAAATAATGTTAGCTGTGCCCTCGGGTATGAGCATGGGCACTTCAACAACTCTAGGAGCCCATCAAGTCTTGACATAGGCAGCGCACAAGGCACAACCTCCACCATCTCAACACTACTAGTATAACAACAACAACAACACCACCACCACCACCACCACCACCACCACCACCAAGCAATGGCATTGGGAAGAGAGGCAGAAGAAATGGAGTAGTTTCATAGATTGTTGAAAGTACCATCGTGAAATAGGCGTTCATCATTGGGCATACGACCGAAGAATCATGATCATCAATTCTATATCTAAAATTTGAATATTAAGTAAAAATAACCTCTGTGCCCTTTGCTCAAGGGAAACAAACAACGAGAAATACCACAACAACGAAAAATCCAACAATACCCGTCGATATATAAGATCCATAAATATCACAATAAAATTAGTTCTAATACAAATCAAACTCTATAACTAATCACTTCCAGGATTTGAGATGAGCGACTGAGCGACTGAGAACGAGCCAGAGCAAGAACCAGCAGAGGATGAACGATAGAAACAGTAAAAATAGAGTCATGTGACCTACCTGCTGAGATGAGTGAGACGGATAATGAGTAAAGAGACGGCACCGAGAGGGAGAAACACTGTTGATGAACGAAGTGAGGGAGACCAGCGAGATGAATGAAGTGTGAAGGCTGAGGTCATGAGGAAAATCTCTCACAACTGAAGACTAACGATAGATGACAACTTCAAAAACTCCATAAAGAAACTCTCTTGCACCCTTATGCGTGAATTTCATAGAATTTTGCATCGTTTTCTCATTCCAAAAGCAGCGAAGATATACAAAACTTATAGGAGAGGAAAATGCTACCACCGATTCAATCAGTAAGCTCAAGCCACGGCAATGGGGCAGATGAAGCTATAACAGTTCAGCACGCTAATGGAGGAAAAGAGAGTACACAAAGATATGAGATAAGAACAAAATAAGCTCACCACTTTGTGCCTGTTCTCTCTTCTGCGGCTAACCACGGCAAAGGAATCGAAAGGTGACGGGCGTACAGACCAGCATCGGAATAAGGCGGCGGCGGCGGCGGCGGTGACTAGCTCTTTGGAGGTGATCGCAGTGGCGACGGCGGCAGCGGTGGAAACGGACAACTATCTGGGCGCTTCTGTCTCCACGGCGTCATTACAAAGGGGTGAGTTATGGCTTATAAATCATCGAATCTTAGGAGTTGGCCCAAAAATTTTATAAAAATAAAATAAATGGAAAAATATCTGGGTCGAAGTTCTGAAAAGCACGAAAAATCAAAATCAAGGAACCTGAAGCAATACATTTATGCCTCATTTGATATGAAGAAGTTTTTTTTTTTTATAAAAATAAAAATAAAAAATAAAATTTAAAAATATATTTGATATCTCAATAAAATTGAAATAAAATTTTATTTAATATTATATTTATATTATGAAAAGACTAAAATACCTATAAAACATAAAAAAAAATAAATTGACTCACCAAATTTCAAAACTTTCCTCCACTCTATTAGATCTCTAAATTATTGTCCCACCATCCCTACCATCATTAAGAATTGTCCAAAAATCAAGCATATCATATTTAAATGAATAAAGCAATAGATGCAGAAATCAAGAGTACAAAGCAAAGTCATAAATCAATTTCAACATTTTCCTAACCACCAAAATCGAATATGAGACAAAACAAAATTGACAAACAAAAGCTCAAAAAAGAAAAATGAATGAAGCAAAGGATTGGAGGAGATGATAGTGATGATGAGAGAGAGAGATAAGCAACAACAGTAAGGACGACAGTAAAGATAGAGGGGTATGTCACTATTATTGCTAGGGAAAAATCATTATTGGTGGTCGCTCAATGTTGCTAGTAGGGAATTGTTGGAAGAGACGAGAATCATTGTGGTCCTTAATGTTGCTAGTGGTGAGTTGCTAACCATCGCAAGTAGGAACCATTCAAAGAGATAAGAATCGTTGTGGTCTATTAACGCTGCTGGTGGTGAATCATCACCGCAGCTAGTAGAGTTGTCGTCGCCGTCACTAATGGAGGAATGTCATTGCAAGTGGGGGTTGGTGGGGTGCAATAAGCAGTCAGCAGATATCATGGGAGACAGAGGAGAACGATAAGGTAAGGCCAAAGGGGTCCAATAGAGACATGGAACCCACTTCCATGGGTTGAAGCAAGGAACATACTTCCATCATTTTTTATGGAAGTGGGTTCTCTAAAGAATCGGCTTCTATTGTAACAAAAACACAAAATTATTGATTCCACTTCCAATTTTCTCACTCTAATTCCATGGTACCAAATAAGCTATTACAACTGAGGATTAATGAATTCTAATTTGACACCATAGCCTTTAGGGTCTTGAGTGAAATTAATTATATGGTGAAAATATATATTTGCCCTTGATGTTTAAAATTTAAAAAAAAATATTGGCCCTCTCTATATGCTTTGCTTTTCTTCTGTTCTCCCTTTTTCTTGGTCCCATCTTCTATATTTCATTCATATGTTCCAGGCGAATCCAAGTAGTTTGTATAGCTTTTAGCTCTGCGTTTTTCTTTTCAATGTCATTGTTGAGATGTTTTCTTGTCTCGATGTCACAAATTATAATAAAAAAAGATGTGTTACATAATCTCTTCACCATTAATCTTCAACATTGATCTTTGATTAACTATGGAAAAAAATCCCTACTGCAAGTGTTGCGTTAAACAATAGATTGCTTTTTTCATTTTTTTTTTGGTTAAGTTCACATCAACCCTTGTGCTTGAACTTCTTATTCTATTTATTTGGACTCTTTTAAAAAATAATATAATACAAGATTATGTATTTTGAGAGTTCTAGATTTTGGTAATAAGCAATTGACAGGGACATAGCCTCCATTTGATTTTAACAAGATTAAATTTTATAATTAACAAGTGCAGAAAATGAAAATATTCATGGAGAGTAATAAATGTCTTGATCTGGTGAACAAGTGACCATTTGTGAAAAAACAAAACTCTATTCAATTTTATCAGGAATAAATTCCCTAATTAATTAGTGTAGAAAATTAAAATGTTCAACAATTATCATTGTTTGGTAAACAGGTGACCATTTGAGAAAAAACAAGATTCCATTTGATTTTCAACAAGAATAAAGTCCCTAGTTAACAAGTGTGAAAATAACTAGTTTTGTCCGGTGAACAAGTGATCATTCACGAAAAACAAAACTCAATTCTATTTTAACAACAAATAATTCCTAATTAACAAGTTGAGAAAATTATGGAGATCAATAAGTGTTTTGGTATAGTAAACAAGTGACCATTTGCAAAAAAAAAAAAAAAAGACTTCATTCAATTTTAACAAGAATAAATTACCTAATTAGCTTGTGTAAAAAATTAAAATGTTCATGAAGAGCAACAACTATCATTGTTTGGTGAATGACCATTTGAGGAAAACAAAACTCCATTCAAATTTAATGAGAATAAATTCCTTAATTAACAAGTACAAAAAATTAAAATGTTTATGGAGAGCAACAATTATTTTTGTCTAGTGAACAAGTGATTATTCATGAAAAATAAAACTTCATTCTATTTTAACAACAAATAATACCCTAATTAACAAGTGCAAAAAATTATGGAGATCAACAAGTACTCCAGTATGGTGAACAAGTGACCATTTGCAAAAAAAAAACAAAACTCCATTTGATGTTAACAAGAATAAATTCCCTAATTAACTAATTCAAAAAATTAAATATTTATGGAGAGCAACAACTATCATTGTCTGACGAACAAGTAACCACTTGAAAAAAACCAAGACTCCATTTGATTTTGATAAGAATATAGTCCCTAATTAACAAGTGCGAGAAATTAAAATGTTCATGGAGAGGAACAACCGTTTTTGTCTAGTGAACAAATGATCATTCGTGAAAAACAAAACTTCATTTCATTTTAACAACAAATAATTCTCTAATCAACAAGTGTAGAACATTATGGACATCAAAAAGTGTTCGGTATGGTGAAACAAGTGACTATTTGTGAAAAAAACCAAGACTCCATTTGATGTTAAAAAGAATAAATTTCCTAATTAACTAGTTCACAAAATTAAAATATTTATGGGGAGCAACAACTGTTATTGTCTGATAAACAAGTGACCATTTGAGAAACACTTGACACATTCGATTTTAACAAGAATAAATTCCCTAATTAACTAGTGTAAAAAATTAAAATGTTCATAGGAGAGCAACAACTATCATTGTCTAGTAAATAAGTGACCATTTGATAGAGAGCAAACAGTGTCTCAGTCTAGTGAATACGTCATTATTTAGGAAATAACAAGACATCATTCCTTTCAATAACAATTAACTTCTTAATTAAAAAGTCTAGAATATTAACCATTTGAAGGAGAGCAACAACTATCTTGGTCTGGTGAACAAGTCACCACTTGGGATTAACCATTTAAAGGAGAGTAACAACTGTCTTGGTCTTGGTCTGGTAAACAAGTCACCACTTGGGATTAACCATTTAAAGGAGAGTAACAACTGTCTTGGTCTTGGTCTGGTAAACAAGTCACCACTTAGGATTAACCATTTAAAGGAGAGTAATAACTGTCTTGGTTTGGTGAACAAGTCACCATTTGGGAAATAACAAGTCATGATTCCCTTTTAACAACAATCAATTCCTTAATAGAACCAAATGTTGAAATTTGAAGAACAAGTTATCTTTCGGGAAAAAACAACTCCCTTTCCCATTTTAACAAGAAACTATTCCTGAATTAACAAATATTGCCATTGTATTGTAGCAACTAGTACATAGACAATATTAATTTCACCTAATTTCATACCAATACTTGTCATTGTAGTAATAGGTACTCATCAAATTCTGCATCTATTTACATCATATTATTGCATGTTTCCCTACTTTTTTAGCCTGAATTTGGATTCTTGCAAGTCTTGTGAGTTTGAGAAGCCTTGCCATATCTAGAACAATGATAAACCTTTTAGTTTTTGGAATTGTGATTCTATCCTTCTACTTCATGGCCTCCCTAAAGGTTGGCTAGTCAATGGCAATTGGAGGAAGACTGATGTGGAAAAATCTGTTATCTATCACTTGCCATCTGTCATATCAACCTACAACCATTTAAAATAATTTTTACTCTTAATTTTGAATTTACAATTACAATTCTAATATCCATCATATATCATGATTATTCTAACAACAAAAAGTTTAATAGTTTTAGATTTTAACTAATTTTTACACTATTTTCTAATTCATACTTACAATTCTAATAGCGACAATATATCATTATTATTTTAACAATAGATAATTCAATAGTTAGACTTTCCTTCCCAATAACCAAACTAAATTACTACCAAGTAACAAAATGAACTATCTCAAATCAATCATATAGCAGCGTCAATGAAGAAAAAAGACTAATTATATCAAATTCTCATTTGATGATAAATTTACATAAAGAGGGAAGAAACAGAGAGTAAAGTTTCAATCTTCAACAATAAAATTTCAAGTTTCATTTTCAATGGAAATCAAGAAATTTAGAAGGAGTCATTCATCTTCAATCTATAACAATAATAGGTGTTTGATAGTAGGGTATTGCTACTTAGCAAATAAAACTTGCTTAGCAACCTTCACCCCTTTAAGAAATAATGGGTGCTTGTAGCCTTATGCCGAGAATCTATCAAAGAGTCACAAACTATATAGAAAGCATATTAAGCTTCTTCCTGGAGAAGACATGCCTAAAATTAAGAAAACCTTGTTCGATAAATGAGAAATATTCATCAACAACTTAAATATTTTCATGATTGAGTACAGTCTTTTTGAACATGCCTTCCTTTTGAATTTTAAAGGCAGAGAATGATGGAATGTAACATCTAAAAAAAAATTATTCCCTTGATTAATTAAGTTAATGAAGGATAAATTTTTAAATTTAAATATAAA